CTAACACCGCTTTCACAAACCTAAGGGACGCACTCTCCACTACCCCCGTGCTGCAACTACCAAACTTTGAGCAAGAATTTACGGTAGAATGTGATGCGTCTAGCATAGGCATCGGAGCAGTACTGCAACAGAAAGGGCACCCCATAGCCTTCTTTAGCTGCAAACTAGCAGATCGGCACCTCAAGCTACCGGCCTACGAGCGCGAATTGATCGGACTGGCCAAGGCCGTCCCGCACTAGAGGCCGTATTTGTGGGGCAGACCCTTCATTGTCAAGACAGACCACTACAGCCTCAAATACCTTCTAGAACAGCGGCTTACTACTCCACCCCAACAGCACTGGGCAAGCAAACTGCTAGGAATTTGACTTCCGCGTAGACCACAAGGCGGGAGCCTCCAACCGGGCCGCTGATGCGCTGTCCAGGCGAGAAGAGGACACGGCGCACCTCTGCGCGGTCTCCCAGCCCCGCGTGACCCTACTGGAGAACCTAAGGAGCGTGTTGCCCCAATCACCCATGTGGAGAGACCTGATGCAAGAGTTACAGTCGGGCACAACCAAACCAAACTGGACCATCCACGAGGGACTTGCGCTGTACAAAGGAAGGGTATATCTCCCAATCGATTGTCCCTTGATTCTAGCTATCCTCGCCAACATCCACAACGCCACCCATGAAGGGGTGCAGAAGACGTTACACTGTGTCCGTGCAGACTTTCATTGGCATGGTATGCGAGGCTCGGTTAGGGATTTCATCCAGAACTGCTCCGTATGTCAACAACAAAAGTGGGAGAACTTACACCCAGCAGGACTCCTGCAGCCCCTTGCACTCCCAACGTAGATCTGGGTCGATATCTCTATGGACTTCGTTGAAGGCTTGCCTAAGGTCGGAGGGAAATCCATCTTATTCGTAGTGGTGGACTGCTTCTCAAAATATGCTCATTTCATTCCATTGTCCCACCCCTACAGCGCAGTTTCTGTGGCCCACGCCTTTTTCACACACATCTTCCGCCTACATGGGCTGCCCGAGACCATCGTCAGTGACAGGGATGCAGTCTTCACCAGCACCTTCTGGAAGGAGCT